TCCTCCTCCTCCTCCTCCTCCTCCTCTTCCACATCTTCCTCCTCTCCCACCTCTTCCTCCTCTCCTTTTCCTCTCTTCCCCTCCTCTTCCTGCCCCGATCCCTCTCTGCTTCCTGCCACCCTGCCTGGGAGCCAGCCGACTACGGACTGAAAGCTCCACAGACTGTGAGCTAAGTAAACCTTTCCTCCTTCACGTTGTGGGTTTAGGGTATTGCATCCCCCAAAGAGAAAAGGACCGAGACAGGTAATGTCATCGATATCCACAAATATTCTACACTAGGCGCGTGTGTCACAGTCTGAGGATTAATATTCAAGCACCAGAAGGGCACGCTGTGGATTTCATCTCCCGAGCCACTGGATCGCAGAGCCGGCCCAGCTCCGGTACCCCACAGTGGAGTCACCTGGCTCCGCACTCGGCTCCTCTGGCCCCACATTGTCTGGTGCCCGAGGTGGCCCGTTATGGCCAGCTTCAGCTCCTGGCTCCAGCAGAGCTGGGCTTTCCCAGAGTTGGATCAAGACCTCCCAGCACTGCTCTAAATACTTGCTCTGGCTTTTTATCTCATTTCATTACCAGGCCCTGCGTGAACACCACGTCGCTTTGGAAAACAAAACCCAAACAAGAAAGCTGCAGTAGGGGAGCAGTGGGAAGGATCCTGAGAGAGAAAGTGAGAAAGAGACAGAATTTTTTCAGTTCCGGGTCTGCTTGCTGGCTGCTTCTCCACCAGCTCCAATCTCCTCTTTCTCCCTCTCTCCCAGGGAAGCGGTGAGACCGTAGCCCCCGGCAGTGAGGATGTGGACATCTGCTTCACAGGGCATCATTTCCTACCTCCCAGCATCAACTCCAGAAGGATTCCCTTCCTTTCCCCTCCTCCTAGGCCTTGTTTCTGGAAGGAGCTCTTGGGAATTCCAGGGGCTGGAGTTGCTTAGGAGGCCTGCAGGGGGCGCTGCTGGCATTTGCTGTCCTGGGGCCAGGACTGCTGACTTCCTGTGAGTGTGGACAGTTTCCAGCAAGATATTGTCCCTGCGTGGATGCCAGAGGTGACCCTGCAGGAGTCTTGTGTAACACGGGTGGTGTACAGCAAGGTCATCACCTGAGCCAGGGGTCAGGGGCTGGGCACCCTCTGCTGCAGGGAGGAGCTGGACAGTTACCTCTCTTCTCTGGGTTCCAGTTGCAAGCTGGTCGCCGTCTGGCCCCGCCTGCCCATTAACCCTGAGACCACGGTGTGGCAGTCCTGAATGCAAGGCTAGCGGTGACCAGCAGAGCAGGCTGTCTGACTGAACTTAGCCAAGGGTGCTGTTCTCTCCGCCAAACACTAACTCCCACTTCCCACCTCGCCTTCTCCTGCTCCCACCGTGGCCTCTCTTTTATCTTTTATGAGCTTCAAACTCAGCTCACATCTCCCTCCAGGGAAGCATGCCCCTACCGTTTCCCTGCACTGGGTTTGGGATGGGTCATGGATATTCTGCCATGACTTCCTTTAACCCACAGAATTGCAATTTCTTGCTGACTTCTCTTCACCCTCCTGAGGACCAGGTGGCCTCTTTTCTGCTCTTCTATCCTCAGTTTTCATCTCAGGATCTGACCTATAGTGGACACTCAGTCTTTGTTTGTGGGAGGGCAAATGTAAGGAAGAAAACAGAGCAACAGGCAAAAAGATCTTCAAATTTCCTTTTAGCTTCACCTTTGAAGATTGCCTAGAGCTAAGGGGAGACCCTGGCTCCTGGGCATCAGCAGATTCAAGGAGGATTTTGCGTCCCAGAGGCTGGGGCTGGAGAAGGCCTTGGCTTCTGGAGGCATATGATCACCGAATAGGTGATCAAGGGATCGCAAGGATTTCAAATGCTGGGGCCAGGGATGCTTCCCGTGGAAGACTGTCCAGGAGGGTCTGCATGGAGCTCAGGGGTCTAGCGCTGTCTCCTGCCCCTTGGCCAAATGCACATGAGGCCCCAGGCAGGTACGGCTTCTGAGGGACAGGACCCCGGGGCAGCCCCAGGACAGACGGCCCAGGCAGGATCCAGTCCCTCCATGGCCAGCTCCTAACCGCTCTGTACTACACTTTCGCTTTCATTCCCTGTGGCACTCTTGACTGAGGGTTTCACATATTCGTAGCCAAGAAGAAAAATGAACCCTACTTTAGGGAAACCCAGGCATCCGGCAGGGAAGGCTACGCCTTGTCCTGTTAGCAGCTAAAAATGTCAACAGCGACTCTGGTAAGTTAGAATTTTAATTTAGGATAGAAATAAGTCTAAGGTATAATGGGGTGTGTGTGTGTGTTTATTGTTTGTGAGGGAGAATAGCTTTTCAGATTCTGAACCACTTGATATATTGTAAGTGGTGAGCAGTTGTTCGTCATCTCTAATGAGCTCAGAGTACAAAATCAAATTTCAGTAGCAAGGTTTTAGAAATGGGTGTTTAGAAGTACAGTGTTTCAGGCTGGTAAACAAGATTGTAGAATTCGTTTAATTTTGATAACAAAAAAGCACAATCGGCTCCCAGAATCCTTGGATTCTGCATCCATGGATTCAACCAACCAAGAATCAAAAAATATTTGAAAAGAATTCCATCAGTACTAAACACACACAGACTTTTTTCTTGTCATTATTCTTTAAACAATACCATAGAACCTATTCACATAGCATTTACGCTGTATTAGTTATTATAAGTAATGTAGAGATGATTTAAAATATTCGAGAGGACCTTCATGGGTTATATGTAAATACTGTGCCATTTTATGTAAAGCACATCCAGCAGATTTTGGTATTCACAAGGGTCCTGGAACCAGTCCCATGGTACTGAGAGATGACTGTAGATACTATACATAAAGTACACACACACACACACACACACACACACACAGGGATACACACTTCTTGTCCAAAGGCCAGGAAAGGAAAGAATCATAAAGGCTTTTCTGTAGAATGCTAAGACTGCTATCAACATTCCCAAGATGCTAATTGGTCCTACTGATCCTCACAGCCTTCGGAGTCCTCCTGTTCCTCTGATCTGATGGCTGACTACAGCCAGGTCACCTCCTTAAACAGAGACGAACAGATGTCCTGTTCGGGAACATCGCAGGGCAGGAGGAGGTGGGGAGAGGACGCAACTGTGGGGAGGCAGGGACCCCCGTGTGGCGCACTGTGCATGCTGGGGCTGAGTGACATGCTCGGTTTCCCTGTTGCTGCCAGATTTCTGTGCCAGAGCCTGTTCACCCCCTGAAATGACTTCTCCCATGTGGAAATGGCATTATCTTCACCCACTGGACTTCAAAGAGAGACAGCAACCAGCATCCTGGGAAGCTAATCGGATTTATTTGGTTCTATCTTTCCCCTGGGACATGGCATAAAGAAGATGTTTATGTATCTACATCTCACTAGGCCTGGTTTAGCCATGGAGGGAGATGAGTTTTAAAAGCTGAAAGCCATACATACCGCTGCACACACCACTTGCTAACACAAGCATGTAACAGCCTTATCTGGCCCGGGGAGCAGAGATTTGGGGCCCATCAGAGGGCTGCCGTGTTCCGACTGGTGGAAAGTTCTGCCTCATCACTGGCTCAATTTGTATGCAGTTTCCTGGTGCCCATGCTGCCTGACAGCGCAGACTGCCCGCGAGGGGGATGGGAAGTAGGGTACAAGTGGTAATCAGCTGGATTAACAACTGCTACTATTATACTGCACATTTCTCACGCAGATGTGTGTATGGACACAGGACTGGAGAAAGCCAATGTATTTGAGGTCCGCTTGGAACACTGATTCTGAATCCTGATGTCTGCACTCAGCTGGCGATCAGTGAATACTTCACTCGTCTGAGCCTCAGCTTCTCTGTACTAGAGTCTACTTCACGGAGTAGTCAAGATGAGACAGATTTACACATGCACACGTAGCACTGCATATATGATGAGCACCAAGTAGGTGCTCACTTCTGATATTTTTAAATTTGAATTGCACTCTGCAGGGAGCTGTTGCTCACTGTCAAGTGTCAGCATGGACCCTGGAAGGATGTGGGCAAATGCGCCTCACACGCTGCCACCTCTGTATCTGGAAAGGGCACTGCTGCTCTGTCTTCTGGGGAAAGTTCCTCCCTCTGTGTAGATGATTTCCACCGGCCCAGCCACACCCTGGACTCTTGTGACCATCTGCAAGGGGCCAGACTGAAGCCAGGCCTGAAAGTCATGCAGCCAGGGATGAAATACAGCCTTGGCTTTCGGTGCAGAGCACTCGCCTCAGTGTTTCTGGATGCCCAAGTTACCCATTGGCTTGGGAAAAACCTCTGCATTGTAGCGTTTTTGCTCCTATAGGTGTCAAATATGCGTTATGTGAAGCTTTAGGGCTGTTCCGAGAATCATCTGAAATGCCATACGTCAGTAGTTCTTAATCTTTAGCCTCTTGTAGGTTGGGACCCATGAATTTGAATTTCCAACAAGTTTGTGGGTGGTGTGGGGTGTCCCTGGCAGGCACACTTTGAGAATTCCCAGCACATGTGAAAAAAAGACAAATGTGTGATGCATTAGCATTGCTTCACTCTCTGACGGAGCCAATCAGCTACATATTGTTTCTAGAAAGTAGAGAGACATAAAGGCCTGGCTCATTCATGGAAATATAAAAGACAGAGTCCAAGGACCCCAGAGAAACAGGAGGGGGATTCCCAGTCCTGATAACAACACGACAGCGTCACCTGGGACTCGGAGATGGAGAAGGGGAACTCATCCCAGCTGGGCGTGTGCCCCCTTTGCTGCTCCTCAAAGTTTCAGGAAAGCAGAGTTTTGGACGAGCATGGGGGGTCCCCTAAAGCAGAGCTGTGGGCAGCAAAGCCCAGGACCTGGAGCAGTTCTCTAGGAAGACGATGTGGCTGCTTGTGGCTGAGAGCCGAAGGGATGTTAGGAGGCTGAGGAAGTGGCCCTGGAAACCCCATGGGGCCTCAGCTCCCTTTTTCCTTAAGTCTGGGCTTCCTGTCCCGGCCCTCCAGTCAGTCCCCGTGCCCGGCCAGGGGCCAGCGTGCAGACCCTAAGACAGCAGCGATCCACCCGGGTCTCACTGGGGAGATGGGAGAGGAGGGGAGACGGAGGGTCCCATCTCCTTCCAGTCTCACTTCCTATGCCTTGGGGGTAGAGGAGAGGGAGCTCCCAGGCTCTTTTTGGTATTAATTTGCACCTCAGTAGCAGGGAGGCAAAGGCTTCTCTGCTCTCCCTCTGGAATGCCTGAATCTCTTATCCTGGCCTGGAGGGAGGTGGGTTTCTTCAGCTCCTACTGGGTGTCAAGGAGGCCTGGCCTGCTTCCAATTAGCCTCCAGGGCTCAGCCCTCAGGCCTCCGTCCTGCCCAGCAGGCAGAGTCTCGCTCACCCACTCCAGCTGTGAGGTCACACCCAGGCTTGGTTTTGGGGTTCTGTCTGCCTAACTAAGTGGCCCAGGCAGACAGTGTGGCACCTTCCGGTCTGCATCTACACTTCACCCAGCCTCTAGGTGCTGGGATCCTGCTCCTCTATTTCCGGTGGCCAGAGTGAAGGGGAGGGACTGAGGCTGTTGGTGAAAATCTCTCACTGCCCAGCGCTCACTTCTGATCCCACCCTCCTGTGGCTACTTCCCTTAGCTCTGCTGGCACCCAAGCTGTGCTCAGCTCTCAGTCCTGTTACCAGGGCAACAAGAGGGGTTTCCCACCCTTGTAGAATCCCAGGGCTGAAATGAACTCCCAGGGTCCACTAAGGCCTGCACGGTGCTTTCAGGCCAGTTGGGTGCCAGCATGCCCACTGGACAGAGAGGAACCCTCCTGGGATAATTCCCTGGGTACCAGGTACCTGGTCCCACCATTCTGGGGTCCCTGTTGGATGCGTCTGTCTTACATGACACCATTTATATCTCTCCATTTCAAGATAGACAATTTTACTTTTCAGATAGAATAGAACGCATATTGTTTTGGAAACTAAGAAGAGTTCAAGGCTATGAGTGTTTCAGGAAACTTTCAAGGTCTCTTTTCTTATGTGTAGCCATGGAGACCCTGAAGGCTCCATTTCTCAGCATATTAGACGGGTGGACGCGATTCCCGTCAATGGGACTCCGGGACAGGGCTCGCTGTCTACCATTCTTCCTCACATGCATTCTGCAGCCACTGAAAGAGGGTTGGACAATAAGGACCTTGCAGTCCAGTGCAGCAAGGAGAGGTGTACAAAGTCAATAGTAGAACAGGAAAACACTACACCGTGGTGAGTACTATCTGAGTTCTCCAAAAACTGGGACAAGAGGAAGTGTATGTGAGCACGTGGACACTGGCCATCCTTGGGGATGTATGTGACCTCACTGGCCATCCTTGGGCATGGAAAGCAAGGGGAACTGCAGGCTTCACTGTCCTGAGGGATTTGGGGGACCAGCCGGAAAGTCAGCACCCTGGATCACTGAATGGAATAGGCTTTGCAAAGGTAAGCCAGGTAATTGTCACTGTGCTGGATGACAAAGGTGAATTAGGTTTTAGGGGTGGGATTTGCATGATAAAAGCAGACATTTAGCAATGCCTGGTTCTTTTCATCAGCTGAATTTCTCTTTCTGCAAGGCCACATGTCCAGTCAGAGTCAGAGGAGTCAGAGAATCACTGAATTTTAGAGTTGGAAGAGAAACTGGCAGGAAAGAGGGGGTGAGAGTGGATGTTTTGTTGAACTAGACCAAGTCTGCAGCCAAGCGCAGGGCAAGACTCCGAGCATGAGCGCCCCTCCCCACATGCTTCCAGAGCGCAGTCTGGCTGGATGTCTCCTCAGCCTTTGGCCTCAACCCCGTTACCTCTGAGCTTTTGAATGCGCTGCACTGAGTCTTAGGAGTCAAGCAGGTACAGCCTTTCTTTCTCGAGTCATTGGTTCCCGCTTTCTTGAGCTTTACAATAACATGGCTTTCTGACAGGCAGAATCTTGGGCACGGGACAAGGTGGGCCTGGACAGAGCTGGTCAAGCCGCTGGGCTGACCATGTGAACGGGCAGCTCCAGTTCATGAGGAACACGGCCAGGCCAAGGTGAGCCTTCTTACCTCCGAAATATTGATGCGGCCCTCCTGAAAGGAGCAGGTGGTCGGGTCATGAGTGCAGACGTTGCGGTACTTGCACCAGTGGCAGCGGAAGGCGCTGTTGACACAGGACAGGCACCTGCAGGGACAGGGACAGTGAGAGGTCAGGCTTGCAGCCTCGTCAGGGTGGAAGTCTGTGTACATCCTAGTCTTCCGCTTGGGAGAGTGGACGGGTGGATTCTCTAACTCTAGTCCTGGTTTCTTTCTAATTTTCTGGTGCCAAGAACACTGTGGATGGAGAGTATGTCTTATAAGAACTATGGCTTTGTGCCGGTAGCTTGAAAATTTGCCTGGTGGGAGTATTTAAACCCCAGAAATTGGCAAAGGCTGCAAACTAGGTTTGTTTCTCAAACTGCAGGTAGTAAATCTTTACCACACACTACTGCCTCTAAGACAGAGTGGCTGCATGAGCAGAGGGGGAACCTGGGCGGATAGGAGTCCAGGCTTGCTGCTGCTGCTGCTGGCCCCGAGATCCCTAAGTCATCTCACTCTCCGAGGTGGTTTCTTCATCTATCTGTAATAAAACAGTCCTCTCTACTCCGCAGGGAGCTTTGATGTCAAACAAGATAATGTACAGGGAATGGCTTTGGGAAGTACATTTCTAAACGTTAGTATTATTTTCAAGTGCTTAAGTCACCTATGATTTCAACCAATGAAATACAGTAGTATTTGAACGCTAACAAGTGAGTCCTGGCCTCTGCGTTCCTGGGTGTAGGGGAGTTAACAGTATTAACCATTAACTTCATCTGGCATCACTGCAAGCTCAGGCGTGGAACAACAGTGTGCGTGCACGGCACAGGCACCACTTGCCAGGGTGAGCACTTCTTTCCCTCTGGCTGCACGAGGAGGCTGTGGATATTACTTTGGCTCTGTGCGTGATCAGACCACTGGAGTGGAGGTGGGTTTGGTGGGTGGGGCTGCCCTTCAGCCCCAGGCCCCCTGCTGTACTCTAGTCTTCCCTGAAGAGACTCATCTGGCCAGGACCGGGCCAGGTCTGCAATCTGGTGCTACCTGGTGGGGCTCTGATTACATCTGGGTGGTTGAGGAGCTAGGAGGGGTCAGCTGCTGAGGAGGGGTCAGCTGCTGATAGGTCAGTGTGTAGAGCTGCTGTAGCCCGTCCACACCTCCCTCGCCCACATCGATGATCTTCTCTCCTTCTGCTTATGTACAAAGTTATTTAGTCTTTGGGCTTAGGTTGATGCTCTGTCGTGTCCTCCCCGATTGATTGGCTCTTGACAATATCTCATGATTTAGCAAGCAAGTAATGAACATGGACCAAGGGCCAAAAAGTGGTGCTGTCCACTGGAGCTGTAGACATGGCCCTTCTACTGGCTCATTTTGTGACTGTCAGGACAGCGCTGTCAGTTTCCATATTAAAAGGAGGGAACTGAACTTGATGCCGTGGGTTTTAAATATGAATGCCAAGGTAGAAGGGTAGATAGATCATGTTTGGCAATAAAATGGAATCTCTGCTGTCAAGATGTTTTTTTTTCCTTGTAAAACTTGCTGCTCCCTGTGACAGCATCTTCATTGCCATAGCAATCCATCACTGCAAGTGATGATGTCACACTGGATTGCCATGGAGATGAGGGCGCTCTCACAGTGGACTCAGTTCCTGCTATGTTAGTTTTCGAGGAGGCTGGTAGGTTCTCTCTGAGGTGTAGCCATTCCCCAAAGCTCACTGGGGCTGGCAGGCAGGGGTCAGAGGCCGCTGTTGTCCATTTCAGCTTTAGCACCGTCTGTCCTGCCAGGTTGGTGCTCTGTGGGCCATTTTCAGCTCTACTCCACTTTTCTCAGCCTATCTTCTGAGTTGTCCTGATGGGTTCAGATATGTTTCCCTGGCTACTGCGGAGATATCACAGCTCCAGATTATTCTGCTCATGCAAATCAAGGTCAGAGGCAGGGGACTAAGGACTGGCTCCCTGGTACCCTGTACTGGCTGGATGTTCTGTTGGGGGCTTCCCGGCAAACACACCTTCTCCCCACCCTGAGCCGAGCCCACTGTGCCCGAAGCTTGGAGCCTACAGACTCCATGCCCCTGGAGTTCTGCCCATTATGTAGACCTCAGCGCTCCTATCCTGGGCAGTGGAAAGATTGGGTTGCTAGAAGATGCCGATTACTGCCCCCCCGGCAGGGAGCTGTGGGTTGGACTCTTCCTCCTCGGGACACCATGGCTATTGGTCCTATAAGGATCCTGTAGTCCTGGTATCAAGATGCACATTTCCTTCTCTCTAAACCAAATAGTGCATGAGTGCCCAGTTTCTCTGCTGGGATCAGAAGAAGGTAAGTACAGGCTCCTTGCTCCTCCACTTCGGGCCTTGTCTTTTACTTGTTGAATGCTCCCAGCTTCCGGCACAGTTATGGGGTCTCCTTTTGGGAGGCACAGGAGGGAGATGCTGAGCTGCTGCAGGAGGCTGAGCTGCGCTGAACTCCAGCCCCCTGGAGGGTGGTAGCTTGGTCTCCTGATTCGGAAACTGAAGGACAGATCTGGAGCACAGTGGAGTTCAATCCTCCACTGCTTCTCCCCATCTGAGGCCCTTTCGTGGTGTGCTCAGAGAGGCCACTTGCCCGGTGTTCTGCCCTCTGTGGACTTCCCAGTTCTGACTTCTTCACTGACTGAACACCGCCTACAGAGCCATCACCGACTGGTCCGCCATGGAGGTCTTTCCACGGTTCTTAATCGTGACTCTCTTCTTACTGTCCTGGCTTGAGAGGTGGGGTAATGAGAGCAGGGGACGGAATGAGAGCGGAGGGCATGGGGAGCCGGTGCTGTTCGATCCCGCCCACACCATGTGCCTGGCCCTCTGAGGAGACCAGGAGGGGCCCAGCACACAGCTCCTGCCCCTCAGCAGCTTAGACACGGGGGGCGGAGGCCTCACACCCACATCCCCACCCAACACTGCTTCCCAGAAGTGCTTACAGTTGGTGGGCGCTGCAGTTGTAAAACTTGAACTCAGTGCTGACAAAAATCTTCCCTGTCTCCTTGGACCTCAGCTGCAGCTCTAGTCCAAACCAGTCTGGAAAACAAAAATACAATGGGAAGGAGTCAAAACCTGGGGATTCCAAGGGTGGTCTTCAGGAAAGGGGATTTCTAGGGCACAGACCATGGATGGGGGGATCCCAACTGGTCCTTTTCCCGAGAGAAGCCCTTGGCTGGTTACCTGCCCACCCCCAGACCCACATCCCAGGAGGAAGGGCAGGTTCCATGGCAACCTTGGCCTCAGTGAGGGATGTTCAGTTGCTGAAACAATTTTAGAAATATCAGGCCAGGGCCCCTTAAACCCCAGGTCTGTGGAGAGAACTGGCCTGAAGCCGCTCTCAGTCCCGAAGGGACGGCCTCCTGAAGCTCTGCACACTCTGCAGCTGCAACCCACAGGAGAACAATGTTTCCCTTCCTCCCACATGTCGACGCGGCCATGACGGTTTGCTTTCAGACTCAAATTCTCTAAGGTGGTGTTTGCATCTGGCATTGGAAGACTCAGCCAAGCAACTTCTGTGCCCACTGCATGTGACCTCCAGCCCCACCGTGGTGGAGCAGCACCCAGCCCTGGCTCTCTCAGCAGACGCTTCTTACCTTGATCCAGGGGGACAGAGGGGACATCCTTGGGCCCAGGCGACGTGCAGATGATAGTGCTCCCAGACACACGCCCTTCCACCTCTGTCAGGTTCCCAAAGGCACAGGTGACGCCTGCAGACAGATCTGGAGCATCACTCACGACCAGGTTGAGCTGTGGGGGGAGGGAAGGGCTCAGGAGACCCAGGCCTTGGGCTGGCCTGGCCTGGACCTGCTACTCACTGATCCCCCACCTCATCTATCAAGGCAGGAGCCGATCTAGCGGATCTTCCAGCTCTGCCAATGAACAATTATGGTAATGAGTTGCTCAGTGGTGCACGGAGCCAGTGGTCTCTATTCATATTATTATTAATTGATTTTTCAATCTTGTGCAGCCTCAGGAAGCACTAGGGGTTAGGGACAAAGAAGGAAAGGTACCAAAACCCATCTTAGATCCTGCTCATTTTGATATGGAAATCAATTGCAAAGCACCATAGGAATTAGAAAGTCGTGAGCCGAGGTCTTCATCGGTAAGGCTTCAGCCTGGGCTCCCGGGAGAGCAGGTATCACCGGACTGGAGGTTTGCCAGAGCGCACTGGGTTGGTGCAAAGAGGAGCTGCTCATACTGGCCACCCCTGGAGTGTCCGCTCCTCTGTCTCTTCCGCTCTCTGCTCTCCAGCGGTTCCTCGGCAGTGGAGCAGGAGAGTTGCCAGGAGCTCAGGGGACCAGAGAAGGGGCTGCCAGCAGGTAACAGCCTCTGCGGGGGGGGTGGGGGTGGTCTGTTACCTCTGGGTTCCATTACAGAGGCCAGTGGTCTCCAGTCTTGTCAAGTTTAAAGATGCTCTTTTGAGTGGGAAAAGTATCACAAACTTTCAGAGCATTTGTTCACTGAGAAAATATCTAACGGCAGAATGCTACTGTGAATGCACAGCAGTTTTCCATGACTTTGTACTCTGTACAGTGCAAGGCCAGGGGATATCTGAATGGGCAAGACAAGTGCCCGGCTCCCTGTGGCGGGAGGAATGGCCTCGGTTCCCAGCGAGGCACTCCTGCCTCCTCCAATCCAGAGGCCATGGTAGGTAGGGTTGCCTCTGTCTTCCTATCAACACTTGGCAGCGGCTTTCTAGGTCACAATGATAAAGGTGTTACCTAGCCTTTTCATGCATTTGTTTGTCCTTGAATCTTCGCCTCAGTTTCCGATCTTAGGGGACCCAGGTGGAAACCCCTCCCCTGCTTCATCCCTTGACTCCTGGAGAGCTGAAACCTACTGGTCGGGGTGAATGGGGCTAAATCCTGGGAGGCTCATGAGCTAATTAACACTTGGAAGTGCTCAGAAGCCCTTCAGAAAGAACTGATGGTGAGGACTCGAGGACATGAAGCATTTTGGGTTGCACCATGACCTGGGCTAAGGGCTCTTATATCCTCTCTCAGCACACACTGACTTCATACTGAACCCTCCCGCAACATAAAGACAACCTGAAGACCTCCTCAGAGAAGGTAACAATGGATGACTGTACATAGAGCATACATTAAGGAAAGTGGTATCTGGTTTTAGACTGTGTTATGCCATAGGTGTTTGTTATTAAATGCAAAGTCTGGATTTACAAAATAGATGAATGGGCAATACATTTGGGGGAATGTGGGAAACCTAGGAGTCACCAGGTTTTCAATCAGGGTTCCTTAGAGCCCTTCGAGGCTGGTCAATGTACAGACATCATGTGAGCAGTGAGGTGCACCCCTGCCCAGATGCCCTGGCCCCGGCCCCCTCCCTGCGCGTCACTCACCTTCTGGCTATGCTCAGACACCGAGATGCTGCTGGGCTGCACTGCCAGGCTCATGCACTGGCTGATGCTGGCGGCGAAGCGATTCGGCTCCCAGGCCCGGTGGCACTTGTCCCTGCGGGAGCACCTGAGGTAGACAGTCAGGAGCGGTCAGCCCTGCGGCCCAGGTGTCTACCTGCGCTGTCCCCTGGTGACTTGTATGGGACGCTGGAGGGCTCTGGGAACCCCTTGGGGGTCGGTGTCGCTGGCAGCTCAGAGCGGATTGAGGGGAAGGGGGCTTCCCAGCACGGGGCAGCTTGGATAGAAAGGACTCCCTTGCCAGTCCTGGTGGAGGCTCGGCTGGTAGCCAGGGGGTCTGGGGACCTGAGGTGGCACAGCCAGGATGCAGGCTGGGGCGCTGCACCCTCGCCCCAGGCCCTCTGCCCTCAGTGGAAGTTACTTGATTTGTCTGTTCTCTTTCCTCCACCTCCCAGGATGCTGAGGACAAGGACTAACAAGGTAGGGCTGGGGTGATGGCCAGCACTTAGCAGGTGCCATGTCAGCGATGCCCCTGCAACGCCAGTGTAAGCAATGGCAATGATTCATGTTCTTATTCTCCGCCAGAAGTCAGAAAACAGGAGAGGGGTCTTAGCTGTGTGGGGCAGTGAGCCTGTGATCTTGTGGGTGGATTAATGGCTCTTTGAAGGCAGAAGTTATGTTTTATTCATTGGGATATTCCACCTGTCACAGGGAATATTTTAAATAAATGTTTGTGTCATGAAATAATGCCTGGAGACAGAGAGACAGACAAGGAGCCAGGGCTGCCTGTGCCAGAAAGCTTGTGTGGCTGCTCCACCTGACGTCTTCATCCCGGCTCAGGCCCCTCTGCCTCACGTGGCAGGTGGGCATGATAGTGCTCCTGTGGAGGAGCTTCAGGATCCCACCTGCCCTGTCCCTGTCCAGGGCTGACAGAGCTCCAAACCAAGCAACCCCGGGACACTGAGAGATTCCACCATCCCTCAGAGTTTCCCGCCCACCCGCCTGCTCTTCCAAGCTCCACCCCCTTCCTTTCCAGGCACATAATGGATCTAAATATGAATGCTGTCAAAGAAAAGAATTATTGAGGTTTAAGTGAATCCTTAAGATAGCTCTAAAGTGAGCTCTTGACTGGAGCCTTTATCTCATTGACTCACTGAAATGGCTCTTTTTTTATCATACTATTTATGGCAACAGCCCTAGCAGAGATAAATAGCCCGGGAGACGTTAACACACTTGCAAGAGCAAGGAACCCTGAAGAGACAGGGAGGTGCCTGTCCTCCAGGACCCCCTGCCTCCTCCCAGGCCCCCCTCCTCCAAGGCCCCAGCTTGTTGGCTCCCTGCTGCCCTCTTGCCAGGTGGGGCAGGCTGGTGGTGGGCAGTGGCGGGGAACTGCAGCAGGTGGTGAGGACAACCGGCCCAGGAGAAATCTCCCAGCATAAGCATGCAAGCTCTTGCTCCCCACGTGCCCTGGTGGGTAGCAAGCCCGGACAGGTGAGCCAGGTGGGCAGGGAGGGTTCTCTGAGTACAGGTAAGGGGCTGGGGAACAGAGGAAATCCAGCTGCCCTGAACCCCAGCCATTCTAGAAGACACGGGAGCCTGTCCCCGAGACGTGGGGTGGTCCGGGGCGGCTGGGAGCCCCAGCGAGCTGATGGTCATCCCGATCTCTAATTCTGCTGTGTTCTTATGGGGGACATTCCACCCGCACCAGAACTGGGAGGGCAGGGAGGAGGGAGGGAAGTTGGGTGCAGCTGCTGGCCACTGCAGAGCCAGAGGGCGCACAGCCCGGGACTTTTGCACGGAGCCAGGCAGGCTGCTAGGCTTTCCAGACAGAAACTCTTGAGCAGAGAGCCTGTTGGCCGGTGGGTCACCCTCACTGGTGGGAACCCAAATCTGCCCTCTGGGCGTTTCTGGGATGCAGTGTGCATGGCCCACCCCTCTTTGCTGACCCACACAGAGACCAACTGGGTCGTGCTGTGCACATTTTTGCCGGACTTGCTGAGGAATCTCTTACCTCAGAAACCTAAGCTTGGAACCCTGTGTATTTGTGGCCTCAGATCCAGTCCAGATTTTGCATCTGTGAAGCACCAGCCTCTCTTCCTCCCTCTCAACCCTCCCAACACCTGCTGCGGAGGCTGGAAGCCAAGAGCTATTGTGCGGGACCCTGAACTCTGGCCCTCCGCCTCCGCCTCCACCCCAAAATCCACACATTTCATGGAGATGTTCTGCTGCCTGGCACTGGGCCACGGGGTTTCCAACTCCATTGGGCAGGAGAATTCCTAGCCAGCTCCCGCCTATTGGTGTTCACCCTTTGCTCTCCCTCTGGGGCTCTTCGAATTAGGAAGTTTAAGTGTGATTTTGCATTTCTATTGAGCTGTGTTCAAGGAGGGGGTGCATCTGAATAGGGGTGTGAGGCCAGTTGGAGGGAGATGCAGACTTCTTGGAATCACAGAATAATGAGGCCAGCAGGGTCCTCCCAAGGGCACAGAGTCCATAATAGTTATTTTGATTTGTGTAGCCTCTTCTGGGCTTCCTTATTTCCAAAGCACTGATTATTTCATTTAGTCTTCACAATTCACCTGTGAAACAGGCGTTTTCCCTATTTGGCAACAGAGAAAGGAAGGCCTGGAGCTGTCAGAGGACTCTTCCAGGTCACACAGTGGCTGGCCAGACACAAACCTCCCGACTCCAGAGCAACACGTCCACAGCCCTGGGCTGGAGCAGCCCTGGGGTTTCTTGGGAAACCTAGAGAGATACTAGTGCTTCCCTGGTGAGATCGCTCAGTGATACCAGGAAACAGCCCTGTCCCTCCAGGAGGCTGAGATGGAAAGACCCAGGCAGAGGCGTGGCTTGTAGGGAGAAGGCCCCTCAGGGGAGCTGCCTCTTCCTGCCTGGCACTTGTGTCATGGTTAGGATCACTGTGCAAAGGAAGACTCGCTCCTCGGTCTGCAAACTGCTGTCCCGCGCCCTTGTCCCGTCCCAGGGAAGCCCCCGTCTTCTGCAGCCCTTGCCCCTTCTGGAACGTCCCAAACTTACTTATTGTGCAGGGCGCACCAGCCACAGTGAGGGTCTCCCGAGCTCAGGCACTCCCCACAAGTCGTGTACTGCTCGCATGACTCCACGGGGACCCTGGTGACCTGGCAGAGAGAGGAAGGAGCACAGGGAGGTCAGCTGTGACACCTTGCCGATGTGCGTTCAGACTCTATGCACTCTGCACAGCTGTGTCCCTGACCAAGGTGAGGCCAGGGCCCACAGGGCTCTCCACACTCTCATCTGCGGCTGGCAGGGTCAGGTATGGTTAAGCGGAATATGTTTCTGAGGCAAAGGGAGAACGTGTCTGCCAGGGGTGGAGCAAATCCTCCAGCCCGCTGCTAGCATCCTCCACAGAGCTGGGCAAGCCAGGGCAAGCGCTGAAAACAGTTAACTCCCTTGAAAGGCTATTGAGTGGTACGGTCTCGGAGCTGAAGAGGTTTCAGCTGGGCTCAGGTTGAGACATCCTGTCTGCACAGAGCACACTGAAAAGGGGAGAGAAGGAGAAACTTTTCCCATCAAATAATATTCATAGTACAGCACAGGCTCTTTACAGTCAACCTAATATACCACCTGGATCCAATTATCCTTTCTTTGATGGCTGCATTCAGTTTCCCCAGTAAATCTCCCAGCCTTTGAAAAATCTAGCTGCCCAGGAACCTCCACAGAGAAGAGCTGCCGTCTGTTCTGTCTTGCCTGGAGAGTGGGGGTCTGCAGATGAAGCCCCTGCACCCTGGGGTACACCCCTGAAAACTGGCTTTCTGGTGGGGTGCTGCAGGGGCCTGGCTGGGGCATGCTGGGACACCATGCCCCCCAGCGTGCGTGACAATAAAAGGCCAGGGAGGGATCAGAGGACTGAATTCTCCCAGGTGCTGTGTCCTGGGTATCTGTTTGTGGCTGGGGCAGGAGGCTGCTGGGCTGGGAATGGGCTCTCACTGGTTAGGGCCCAGGGGCCTCCCGCCTACGGAGGTGTGAGCTCAGGTGAAAAGGTAAGCCATGGTCCGGCAGCACAACATTCTGCCTCTGGCGGGGGCACAAAGCACAGGACAGAGACACCTTCACAGCATCCTCCCGAGAGGCTCAGGAGGGGACTGAAAGCCGTTCATTCAGCAGAGGTTTGTTAGATGTCAGTTCCGTGGGGACGCGGTGCTAAGCGATAGAGAAACCACAGCACACAGCAAATAGCTTCTGCCCACGTGGACCCCGCAGCTCGAGGGAGTTGGCAACTGCAGACTGAGCTGGTCAGCCCTGTGCTGAACGTCTGGCATGGGGCTGGTGTACATGCCGGGGGCCTCAGGACTTAGAGGAAGCTTGCCCAGGGCCACCTGTAGGGAGGGAGGGCCCAGGGGAGCTGTGTGCCAAATGTTTTCCAAGGACATTCAGAACTGAAGTGTTGCCAGGAGCAAAAGCCATCAGAGACAGGGCCAGTCTGACCTGAATGTGGGTGTGTGACACCAGCCTGCCTTTTCTATGAGGGTCCCCGCCCACCTTCTGCACACCATACACTTCCCAGCCCCGTCACAGGCACCTCTGTAAATGAGGGGCATTGTCAGCCCTGAGCTCTCCTAGCTCCCTTCAGTAACAGAAAGATGAAATGCAGGTAGGGTTAGCGATTCTCTTGAAATTCAGTTTAAGAAATGGATCCTCAGGGCCAGGGATTTAGCTCAGTGGTTCTGCTGCCTGCCTCTCAAGCACAAGGATCTGAGTTCGATCCCTGGTACCAAAACAAAACAAAAAGAAAGAAATGGATCCTCTAAGCGTAGTTTGGGGAAGAGCTGGTTTAAAACACCTCAAGCGGGATACACGAGAGGGTTCGAGATGTGTCTAAGTGCAACGCGACATGACAGGCGACATAAAGGCTAATATGTCACAGGCTCCCGGACAATCACACACTGTCAGGACCCAGTGTGGTGGTCAGGCCAGGAGTTCTGAGCACAGGTCCCTGTGGCCTTCCGATGGGCTGTTGCTTAACCTTCGATCCCACCCAGGGGGTGCCAGGATGCATGAGGTCCAGATGAGGCCTCCAGGGCAGATGGTGGTCCTCAGACGCTTCTTCAGCCCTTAGAAGAGTCCGGAGATGGCCCTGGGTTCCGCTCCATTGTCTGACAGGCTCAGTCTGGCGGCAGTAGGGCCCCAGAAGACAGTTTCTGGGAAAGCTCAACATGAGACAGTCAAGGCTCTCCAGGGCCACAGTGGCCCTGCTGCCCAGACCCACGCCCACTCCTGGGACGAGGCCAGCATCCAGGGGACACTTTTCTGGGATGCTGAGCAAGGCCTCTCCACCCTCAGAGGAGGGCTGCATCAGCCTCTCCCAAGTTCAGACGTCCAGCATTCCACTTCCTGTGGTTACCTGGCTCCTCCCTGAGACCAGTTATGATTTCTGACCTGCACAACTGGACAGTTGGAAGATGACATCGAGCCATCACCAACACTGACCGATTTCACAGGCCTTTCACGCACTCTGCCTCCTGGGCCAGGATGGCTGCAGAAAGTGCCTTTCCAAAGGGGCCCGCGGATCTCTGGGACCCTTGCTGCCTGCTGGGCTTCCGCTGGCCCCCTCCAACCTGCCTTGCCAGGCCTGAGAGCAGCAGTCCAGTGCCCAGCTTCCTTTCTTGGCTTTCGGGCTCCTTGTGAGTGATGTCTGCATCTGGCTGGAAATTAAAACAACTGTCCGCATTGCATTCGGCCCGTCTGTGCAAACACAGCCCGGCCCTCAGCAGCTGGGGCTGGGGCCCTGAATGGGCGCAGTGTCCCCAGCAACAAAGCCCACTTTCACGCCAAGTGCTACGGAGATAGTGAGCCCTGTTCTTCTCCAAACACGAAACCAACAGCACAACTATTTTTCCTGTTTCCTGGGCCCTCCTGGTGGGATTCTTTTTTTAATGCACTGAGTTAAAGAGTAAAGTGAAACAGGAAACTTATGTGGGGGGGGAGGGTTCTACAACTAGAATTACTCCCCCTCTGAGGTCTAATAGCCATGCACAGACCGGAGGAAAGAAACGTCACAGTGACCAAGAGGAGGTCCTCCAAGTCAGAAGTCCCCATGGGCTCTCGCTGTCCTTATGTTCATGGCTTTCTATGTTCATGCACCAACCAGTGCTCACTGGTCATGTCCTCCATGCAGGCCACTTCAGGAGCATAAAATAGCAACAGCATCAAAACACAGCTATCACCCTCGAGTTGCAAACAGACCGCAATAAAAACCAGAAAGTGCCAGTATTCTAAGAGAGGTGCTGAGGGAGGGATGAGAGACTTCCAAGTGAAGACAAAATGCTTGTGTGAGTGCCCCGTCCAGTGTGACACCACCAGCCCCCGAGCGGACGTCTGAGGGCGGCTCACCGAGCTGAGGTGGCTGCAAGGGCTCCACACACATGAGATTGGGAGGAGTTAGGGTGAAAAAGAACATAAAAAAATCACGTCAATAACTTGTCATTAACACGTTTCAAAGAGACCCTTTTGTATAGATTCTGTTAAATAAAATCTGTTTTTCTCACTTTTGGGGAGGTAGCTGTTAGCAAAGTGAAAAGCACTCGTGTGCTCAGGTCTGCCGCTGGCACTTTATGTGTCGGACACTGCTGTCCAGGAGGGAGAGCCAGGAGGCTCTGCTGCAGACGTGTACGGCACAGGTCCTGCCGGTGACTGCTATACCAATTCCACAGGGAATGGGCGGGGAAGACAGCACCGTGCAGCCCCTGGGACCTCTGGCCTGTTACTCCTTGGTCAAAAGAATGTCCCCCATAAGTAGGTGGCCCTGTGGCTTTCAAGGGGCGATGGCTGTCAAGGCATGGTCCTCAGGCCTGAACTGCTGGTGTTACCTTGAAGCTTATCAGACAAGAAAGCCAAGGGCCCACCAGATCAGAAAGCTGGGTGGGGCCCCAAATGGGCTCTAGCATCTCTGCAGCTGATCCCTGGGGGCTACAGCTCAAGAATCACTGACACAGAAGACTTCAGCTCTTTGGGGACAGCTTTCTAAGTGTCAGGCTGCTGAGCCTGCCTGGGGGCTTCAGCAGGAATCAGAGTAGCTCGGGATATGTGGGGGAAAGCAACTGAACTTTGGGGACCACTTTATGCTCTGGGAGAAACTGACTGTTAATTTTGAGTCTCTGGAGTCTGCAGAGGACCAAGTTCAGGCTCCGGAGTAGGGAGCCTCCTCCTGCACAGCTCTGGGTGGCAGCTGGGCCCTGGCTGGAGGACTGGGCTGGGGGCGCTTTCTCCTGGAGGGCGTCCGCCACGACAGGCAGCCAGGGGGCGCTCTGCTGGGGCTGAGTCAGAGTCTAATGGGGCACTCTGTGGCGCTCTTACAGTGTCTGCTTATTATTATTGCATTTTAATTATGCCCCCCCCCCGAGGGCAGGGGGGGGCTGGGCCGGCTGAGGCGGTGCTGAGAGTCACACAATGGGACAAGGCCCTTCTCCTGCCCTGATCCTGTCCCTCAACCCATGGGGCTGCCTTCCACGGGCTTCCGCCTTCGTACTCCACATTCTTTTCTGCCTGATCTTATGTCTTGTAATTATGCCTCTAATGAATATAACTGTCCTATTAAGTCATTTACTTAAGAAATACTCCTAATTAAAGGTGACTCACACTGTGCTGTTGGCTCCTCTGGCCCCAGGGCCCCGAGTCCCTGGTGCCTTCCTTGGCCCGATTCCACCTGGGAAGGGCTCGGCAGAGGTGTGCCGATGATGAGGGGTGGTCTCCCCACTGCCCTCTCAGTTCGGCACTTGGGCAGCCCATGGGGGTGCACCTCACCACGGACGAGGACCTTATCAGATTAGGGTTGGCTGTGGGGACAGTCATGGGGGAAGCCCAGAACCAGCCTCCGTCCCAAAGATCCTGAAGATCACGGCAGGTCTGCAGAGTTTGGGACATCCAAGGCCCAGCTGGAAAGGTCACTGCTGAGGCCCTGGCAGTGGCAGTTACCCTCATCCTGGACAGAGGCCCTGCACGGCTACTGCCGTCAGCTGCAGACACACCGCTCTTCAGATGGAAGAGCTCCCAAGGCAGGCCATAAGAACAAAAGCCCAGGCTGGGTGAGCTTGGGGACAGAGCACTGGTGCTCCATCTCTGCCACCTGCGTGGACACCTGCAGGGGCTCCCTGGTCTGAAC